TTTTTCTTATTTCTACCACGTATCATCACAGATATTCCATAAGCTCCGGTAGAAGGCCCAAGCTGATGCTGGAAACTGTTGTGTCTGATAAGCTTGTTGCCAGGGCCTAGTGGGTTAGAGCAGTGCGCTTGTGCTCTGAGAAGGTTGCAAGTGCCTGGTTCGATCCCCAAAGCCTCTACTCTGGCTCCCTGAACAAGACCCTTAACCTTAACCCCACACTGCTCCCTGGGTGCCCCACAATGGCAGCCAACTGCTCCCCAAGGATATGGGTTAAATGCAGAGAGTTAATTTTGTTGCTCTGCACTTGTGACAGTGTAATGACAATAAAAAAGCTGAAAAAATATATATAATATTATATTTTTATATTATATTTATTTGATATTATATAATAATATAATATTATAAAAAAAGTGGTCACACAAATGTGGACCTTAAAAAGAGTATACAAATAACAGAATAAGTGACAGCATTAAAACAAATTTCACATAAAATATGGTACTGTAAAGTGTTTTAACAATATAAAACTGTGCACATGGAGATTAAATAACCAATATACAGCTATGGACATTTTTACAGTGACAGATATTTGAAAATAGCAGCAACATCAGAGAGGTGCAAAATGACAGCAGCATGTTATTTAACTGACTAAGGTAGAAACTGTACAAAAATCAGCATGAATGTAACAACTTATTGAGATTGTTTAGAACAGTGGTGGTTCTAGAGTATTCCAGCTGCCGCAAGGAAGGATCTGTGATAACGCTTCCTGGTGCATTTAGGGTGCAACAGTCTGTTACTGAAGGAGCTGTCCAGTTCAGCACCAGCTTCATGCATGGGGTGAGAGACTTTATCCAACAGAGACGTTCATTTAGGATCCTTTTGTTTCCAACCTCCTGCACTGAGTCCAGAGGGCATCCAATCACAGAGCTGGCCTTCTGATCAGCTATCCAGCCACTGCCTCTTAGCTACAGATAAGTCACTGCTCCAACATACAGCTCCAAATAATATGGTTGATGCCACAACAGTAATAGAAGGTCTTTAGGAGCACCCCCTGCAGTCCAAAAGAAGATTAAAGCTTGACTCTGGATGTTCTTTCCTGTTTAACACCTAAATACTGGTTTCAAGCTTTAGAGTGAATGGTACATCTTCCATGTTGACACCTACATGTTTGTCTTGCTGGGATGTGATACCTAAAGCTAGTTACCAGGACCAGGAGTAAGAACTTATCTTAACAACATTTCTAATGTTAACATAAAACTAAAGATATCTGTTATGAGTATGAAGCTGGATTTGCCTTAAGGGCAAACCACAAACTTTGTGACCTAAAGAGTTTAAGCATATGAAGCAAATGATTCCTCAGGCCAATATACAGCGCTTGACACTATCAATGTTGTGAGCGGGACTCCCATCTTGAAATACTGACTATGTAAGTTGAGACAAGACGCGCTGTCATTGCCCAGGTCATGTGACCGAGAAGAACGTATCGCATTACGGCCACAGGCTCTTATATCATCATGGAGCTAAGGCTTTTGCTCTACTATATTTCTGTATGCTCGACTACTGGTCATGGGTGAGGCAAGGAAATAGATAAAACCTTCTGAGGAGACTAAAAAGAGAAAACGTGAAAGGGATTATACGCAAGGAAAAACTAGAGTCAATCTTGGAAAGGAGCCGGGTGTCCATCATATATCAGTTATTTATATCTTTGTTAATTTTTGTTAATGTTTACTAGAAGCAAAATATGGGCAGTTACAGGTGTAGCGTCCCTAGTGGCCAAAAGGTACACGGTTTGCCTTTAATAGCAATCCCTGAATTTAGGTTCACGGATGAAGTTCAGTTAAACTCCCCGAGTTAAATATCAGCATCACATACCTTATTATTTCCATACATCTCAGGGGAACCATGGGTAGCAGCAAGGTACAAAAAACACAAAAGTTATAACCAACAATATATACGCGATTGTTACTAAAGTGAAAGTTTGATCATGCATGAGAGCTCAATCTTGATTATGTGCTGTAATTTGACTTTTGCTGTGAATTGGCACCATGTAAGAAGACTGAGGGTGAATAGAATTTCACTGTGACCAAAACCAACCTGTCAGCCAGATTAATAATCCGCAATGAGGTGCAATGAGGTGCAGTTCTGCCCATTTGGAGTCCTTTCAGAGAAAGGAGGGCGGGTCAGCAGAAAGTTTCCGCTAATCACAGTACCAAATGAAACAGCAGCAGACGCCATAAGAAACTACAGCAGTTTATTTTTTACAAACCCATGTAAATAAAGAGACTGACTAATCAGCTTCTTTTTCAAAGACTCTAGTGCAAAGACTCTAGTGCAAAGACTATAACTTAAGTTTTGTCTGCATTCAGGAGCAGAAAGTTAAGAGTCATCCAGGTTTTTATGTCTTGGAGAAATTAATCCCATGCTGTCTAATAACTCTACCGATTGGGAGCATGTATAAAGTAAAGAGAATTGGTCCTAGCACTGATCCCTGTGGTACTCCACATGTAACCTTTGAGCATGAGAAAGATTTATCATTAATGTGAAAAAACTGAAATTAGTCAGATAGATACGATTTAAACCAGTCTAGTGCTGTACCTTTAATTCGTACAAAATATTCAAGTCTTTCTAAAAGAATATTATGGTCAACTGTATCAAATGCAGCACTGAGATCCAACAGGACAAGTAGAGATATAACTCCATTATCTGAGGCCATGAGAATATCACCAGTGCTCTGTATTTAACAGAACCGATAAACAGGGACCCATTCTGTACCCACAAAATGGGTCCCTGTGACCTCTCCATTCCTAGCATTTTACTTTCCTCTTCATATGTAGTGTTGATGGTGGTTGCCTTAAGTTCAATTTTGCATTCAAATTTTTATTTCTGTGTAATTTTGTGTAATAGGTTCTTCTGGAAACTCAAGCTTTTCTCCCATCATCCCAGGATTTCTTCTTTGTATGCCCCTTTAAAGATTTATAGTAGATTTTTATGGTAAAAACAAACTGAAAAACTCAGATAATATTTTTACACAAACAATAATTGAGAACATGGATGTGGGTTGAGGATGGTTCCCTTTAGCAGTCAACAAACACTGGTTCAAAGTGGTTCCCTTTAGTTTTATAGAATTTAATCAGCCACCCTGATTACAGATTCAGCGTTTCACAGCCTTAATGTGGAACGGGATCTGGGGATGATTAATCATGAGAGAACAGAAGTGAGCCATCTCCTCATCTACAGATAATCAGCACATGCATCTTTTAAAATGTTTGTTTTGTCGCACTCCAGAAAAGCTGCTACAAGAAGATGAGGGATTTAAATGGGCTTTATCAAACTTGTATCCAAAAATGTTGTATTCTCTGTAGAGAAGAAGACGATTGGGCCAGCTTTCAACCGGCCAGCCTGGTACAGGGCCCCACTGACACCTGGTCATGTTTATCTATTTATAGAAATGGGCAAATCGCAGTCACATGGTGTTTTATCCACACCACCACCTTTCAAATGGGGCTTTAAATTTCTAAAACATGTTTCCCAATTATTTATTCAAAAACTTTTTGATTTATACATTAGTAATAATTAAAAATGTCTTAAATTAAGTGTATTTACCCTTGATTTGAGTAGGTAAATGTGATAGTTCGCCAATGGAATCAGTATTTTTTACTCTTAAAACAAGAAAATGTGATAATATGCACTTAAAATAAGACAATACAATTGTGTTTTGTTATTTTTAATTTAAATTGGCTTGTTCCATTGCCAAAATGTCTCTTTTACCTCCTCAATCCATGACAAATGGACTTATTTAAAAAAATAATAATAATTTAATCTAGATTTCAATTTTTTCCAGTGTGACCGTGTAAACAAATAAAACGAGATTTAAAATTTCAGCTGACATGTTTGCCTCTGCAGGAGTAATGCAACAGCAGGTATTAATTTTTTTAGCCCCGCCTCCTAATGGCCAGCATCATTGGACACTAGAGGCTAGGACCTTTTTAAGGAGGAGTCAGAGGTCATTGTGCGACCATTTCAGGTCATGTAACCAGAATGTGTTACATAAGCTAGATCTCTTATTCTATTTCTATTCAGTATGGTGATATTATTGGTAAATTTCAATTAAAAAAAGACGCCTAAATCTTAGGAGCAAAGGCTTTGCCTTATACAGAAACTGTACAATAATGTAAACCAGACTACCGCTTATGAGTGAACAAATACATTTTTGCACTTTTGGCATTGTGCCAAAATCCCACTTCCGCCTAGCACACTGCCTACTAAAACCTCTGTGGAATAAACAAGCTTCAACTTATTCAGTCCAAATTTTCTTGACTTATATTCAGGACGTGGATCTATAAAGTCTAAAGGTTCATCCAGAGTTTCAAATGGGGTTTCATGGTGATTTGCAGCATTTATTTTGGAAAAAAAAACCCGGCAAGGCTAAGTACTTTTCATTTTTTCTTTGTTTAATCACCTATAAATCAGACATGGTGACGTTTAAAATAGTGGTTCCACCTGAAAAAAAATTCTCAATGCCTTTCTATCACACAGATACAAACCATTGTATTTCCAATTTATAGTTTGTGAGCTGTACTTTCTTTAATTCACATATGTAATTTCAGGTGGAATTTGCTCCTAAGACCCTGAGCAGTTCCCTGCTTCTTAAACACTAAACTTTAGAATAAAACAATCCATAATTGTTATGTTCTCTTCCTGTCTGTCAGAGATCATTCTCAACGCATCAGGGAATAACTCAGAGCTTAAAGCCGTTTGTCAGGGATGTCATCAAGAAACTCGCTACAGAACTTTAGATTAATCTCTGGTTTTTCTCTCTGACATCCAGTGTGAGAATTGTTTATGTGGATTAACCACTGGGCCATAACCCTACCCTTAAACATTAACCAAATGTAAGGGCAACAATCAAGGGCATACACTCCTTCTCTATATACTTTGTTTTTGAAACTTTTCTCCTTTGCCAATCGTGCAAATCCCGCAGACACACACATTACCCGCCTTTTTGTTGCATTTGAGGTCTAAGCAGCTTTCAATTCCAAATAACCTGGTCTGCTCTGAAAATTATACAATTATCATAAATCTCCCTTCAGAAGATGGCTCTCCATTAACCAAAGCTGCCATCGCCACCATGAATCACTGTGTTTGTAGGTGCATTTCTTTCCTGAGAGGCAGGATGGTTTCTCTCCTCACAGGTTAGAGTCTGGGAGTTTTAAGGAAAAGTCCGGTCATATTCAGAATTCAAACTTCTGAAAGTACTTTAAATATGAAATTATTACATACTGTTAAATAAATGATAAGTGTTTTTAAATAACAGTAATTTTCATTTGAATGTGCTTTACTGGAGGCATCCATGTTTGTCAAAGAACACTACTGCCACCTACTGGTTTGTGACGTCACGGTGCGGTATCGGCTGTTGATCAAGTCCCAGTGCTGTATCTGGTGTTTGTCACAACACGCTATTATCCAAGTCATCTTGATAATATTCTTCTTCCAAATGTTGGCTACATATTAAGTGTTTTTTCTCTGGCCAGAAGTTCGATGGTAAATCCTCTCTCTTCAATGCATGTGGGCATTGATAGTTTTATTATAGCTCTCTGGTGAATTTCAATGGTGAAGTCCTCTGGAAATCTTCAATAATTGTTGTTGATTGCAGATGTGTCTAGTAGTTTCCATTAGTAGTCCACACCGTGACGTCACTTCCAGAAGATGGCAGGAGTGAGACGTTACTATATTTGGGCAAAAATGGCCGGTCCCGGACTCGAAAATAAAATTATTGTTTTGTAATTTTTTTTTCTAATTAACGCCATATTCAATAAATCACCGCGAACGTATTCGTT